GGCAACCCGTACCAAGTGTGATTTTAGTAGTAGAATTTTCGAGGCAACCCGTACCAAGTGGGAGATTTTTGCGTGTGTATTAGTGAAAATCTTAGGCGCCATAACAAGCATATTATGTATAAATAAAACACAACACAATAACTTTTTATACTTGGAGCTCTATATTTTTAAACCAGTGGGAGTTTTTTCTTAAACGTATATGTTTTTAACGTGTACCAGTTTTTTTGAAGAATTTGAAACAACGCCAATTGCAGTGTTGCTCATTCATTCAGTGTTACTAATTGCTAACAGCAATAGTGTATTAAATACATAGACGACGGCGCGACACGACTGTACAGCAGCAAAACTTTCTTGCCTGCAAATGGCGTCCTGAAACCAACTTCTTAAACATTTTGAAGACAGCGACATACCAAACAGTTGATGTACACAAACTCGTTGTTGCCATACTAAAACCTTTCACTTGAATAAAATTTAAATATTTGTGCAAAGTGAAATTTTTTGTACAAAAAAGAACTAAATAGGTCGATTCATTGATTTTAAATTATCAATTGCTACTACAAATGATATATCAGTGCTATTTTATGCTTCTGTTAGTAAAATAACGTTAGACTTGTTAGAGTTTGAATAATTTTACTTTTCACATATTAGTGACATCAGTACAGCTGTCCATTGTAGTCGGCAAAATTAGAAATATTTTTATTTTGGCGACAGCGACAACCTCAAGTCTGCCGCCGTAAAAGTAACTTTATCATAGTACTGTGACCATATGGACGTGTGTATTTTAATATATGACAGATGCTGCCTGTCGTCTGCCGCCTTCGTTGTGTTTCATGCTTAAGTTCTGGTCTTCCGATACAATTCCTTTTCTCTGATACTTATTTTAAGCGCAGTAAAATGTATCGATTTCTCATAACTCTCGTATGTTTGGAAGTGAAGTAATATGATCAATGTATAATCCTACAAATAACCAAAGAATCAGCTGTTTTCCTATGTGCGTGAAACAGCCGTGATCACCTGATCGATTCTGCATTTTTCGACACAGCGATGCAAATAAAAAGAATGTATTGCAGTTTAACAACTTGTTTGTGAACATGTATTTGTAATTGAGAATATTAATGAAAACTTTCAAGAATATTTTCGTAACAAAAGATTATTATATATTTATTGCTTTTCCTCACCACCTCTTGTTCCCCAGGAGGCCTATATTCACCAATATAATATACAGTTTTAAAACAATCTACTTTTCATAACAATTATAACTCGAAAAGATATATACATAAAATCAGTACATAAATCAGGTTCATGAATGTTAATTACATTAACAATTTAACATTAACATTATAAGTTGAAATATTCAACTTGATTTGAACAAAAACGAAAATATATATAAGAAATGAGGTACAATTACAATAACAATAATCAAAACAATCTACTAAGTAATAAATAATATTTACAAAATATTCTAAATCACCGTTACACAATAATATATTTGATGAAATTGGAAACATTAATTAATATTTCGATACAATAAATAATAATTTAAATAATACTAAGTAAATTTAATCTTTAGGAATTAGAACAACCCAAAAATATTTGAATATGTAATAAAAACATTCCTAAAGTTATAAATTTTAAAACATAACACGGCAACACACTATAGCAGATGTGTGTCATTTGAACGTTTTAGTAGTAGAATATTGGTTGGCAACCCGTACCAAGTGTGATTTTAGTAGTAGAATTTTCGAGGCAATCCGTACCAAGTGGGATATTTTCGCGTGTGTATTATAGAAAATCTTAGAATTGGTTACTTGTAGATTTATACAATTAATATGATGCATCATCGTATTAATTGTCAATTGAAAATGATTAAAAACATTTATTATTACCAATTTTGATTGTAATTTATTCACGATTTCTTCGTATAACGAATGTTGAATTCTTTCGCAACATTTTTATACTCTCGCAACCTGTTATTACAGAGTATTATAGTTTTGTTCAACTAACGGTTGTTTGTATCACCTAAAACTAATCGAGTTAGATATAAGGTTATATATAAATAAATGATCAGGATGAAGAGACGAGTTGAAATCCGGGTGACTGTTTGTCCGTCCGTCCGTCCGTGCAAGCTCTAACTTGAGTAAAAATTGAGATATCTTTATGAAACTTGGTAGACATGTTTCTTGGTACCGTGAGACGGTTGGTATTGCAGATGGGCGCAATCGAACAACTACCACGCCCACAAAACGCCATTAATCAAAAACAAATAAATTGCCATAACTAAGCTCCGCAATAAGATACAAGATTGTTATTTGGTACACAGGATCACATTAGGGAGGAGCATCTGCAGTTAAATTTTTTTTAAAAGTGGGAGTGGTCCCGCCCCTAATAATTTTAATGTGCATATCTCCTAAACCGCTAAAGCACCTCTATTGACGGTGTGAAATCGGGTGACAAGCCCCTCCACTCCCCATATAACGGTACTGTTAAAAAATACTAAAAGCGCGATAAGCCAAGCACTAAACACGCCAGAGACATTAAATTTTATCTCTAGGATGGTATGAGATGACTTTATAGGAACCGCGTTCAAAATTAGAGAGTGGGCGTGGCACCGCCCACTTTTAGGTGCAAACCCATATGATGGTACTAACATTCTTTTTATATTTCTATGTTATGGTGCAAAAAGGGGCGAAATCTTATTACAACCACGCCTATTTTCTATATGACACCATTTTAAATTCCACTTGATTCTTTCACTTTCCACTATGCAAATTAAGCAACAATGATTATATCGGGGTATAATCGTGAATAATACGTTTAAAGTATGCCACCTTGTGACCAAAAATTGTCTAAATCGAACCAAAACTGTTCAAGCCCCTAAGTACTAAATATGTGGACCCCAGTGCCTATAGTTGACCTTCTTCCGAAAATATCAGTCAATCCACAAAGAAATCTCAAACGAGTATACCATTTGACTTTGCGAGAGTATAAAATGTTCGGTTACATCCGAACTTATCCTTTCCTTACTTGTTTAATATAAAGTTTTGACAGGACCTGAAAGAATTTCCCGGGCTTTGATTCTTGCAAGTTGCATGAGTATAAAATGTTCGGTTACACCCGAACTTAGCACTTCCTTACTTGTGTTGCAATAATTATTAATTATGTTGATAACGTCAAAACGTATACAAATTGCCTCTATATTGTCAAATCTTCTTATTTGCAAACTGGTTTTCGTTGAAAATCTAACGGTACTTTCCAAAAATACAATTAAAAGTAAATTTTCAAAACGCACTTTAAATTGGTCTGGTAAATGTTTAGGTTAACAAATTAAAATTAATTTTAATGGATTTTGAATTTAAAGGTATTTATCTTATCATATGAAATAAATGAAGACTAACCTGATTTGTGTTTTTTGTGAAATTAGTGTTTTATGCCACATATTTGTACCTTTTTTTGTGCGTCTTCAATTTTTTTACATAATGTTTTAAAGGTGTCGCCGCCGATTCCCCCTTATGTTTATTTGATTTGTCTATATTTGTCTTTATTTGTCTTTATCAGAGTCTCAAGGTAATGAAAGTGTTAAAGTGCGGAAATTTGCGCATGTATTTGTAACCGTAAAAATATTAAAGCCTTATTATTTTTTGAAGGTCCAATTTGCCCAGCGAAGCCTCTGTGTTCATTTAATTAATATTATTTAAAACAATTCTAATTATGTACCGTATTTATTTTTAATTTTTATTTCACATGTAAAGAAATCGTTTCCACCAATACTCCAATACCAATATGATTGGCTGAATGTAAAGGAGCAAATTGTATTGCAAGCCATCGAAAATACATCTTGTCGGTGTCGCCCAAAGGTTTATTCTGCGGAGAACAAAGCACCTGACCAAAATTGATTAGTCCGCTATTTCTGCTTTGCCCAATGTACCTCGAATGCGAACCTTTTTCGCAGCAAATCCCAATTAATAATTTCACTCATAGTGGATACCACCTTATATTGCTTATAAGAAACTTCGTGAATAGCAAAATATACTTTGATTTATTTCTAAGCTATCAAAGTATATTTAAAAGAAATACCCAGAGAATATTTCTGCAAACGAATCTCATGCTGAAGTCCATCTGCAAAGTTTATTAGACAATACAGCATAGAGCTAAAATGCTGCTAAATGTAAAAGCAAGAAGTGAACAGAGAATATTTCGAATTTTGTTTATCCCCACTTCATGCTAGAATACGCTTCTCTGAATACTTTTTATATCTTTCGTATAAGTCTGTCTTCAAAATGTGGCAAGCTAAAGCTCCAGAGCAAAAATTACAAGTTTTGAAACAAAAGCAGAAAATCCAAGCGGCATTTCGTAAAAGAATCGGAATAATAGTAGACAAGCACAGAGACGGAGGTAGAGGATCGTCCAACGATGGTAAGTGGCTCGAAAGGCAAAGTTAATTTGGACAAATTTAATGAATATCCCTGGATACTGCTAAAGCTTGGAAAGAAGAATAAGTTAACGTTACTTCTTATTAGAGTAAACATATTTTATATTTAAAAAAATTTTAAATGGATATACCGATCATCTTTTAATAAATTATTTATATATACAATTTTTTAGTATTTTTATATAATCGAATTTTTCTATTTTTTAATACATAAAAGCAAATTCTGAACTATTTTTCCCCCAGCCCGGAGTTCTCGAAGGGTCCGTATTTTCCAAAAAATTAAGGTAATTGGTAAAAATTGGAGTGCTTTTGATAGTTGATTAACTCGAACATTTATTTATGTTAAACGTTCTGATTGCCGATAAAGGAACATTTTCTCGCTTTTGTATTGAAGGTTGTCATGAAAAGACAAGAGATGCTATTGCTGCTTTAATTTGCATAACATTGAAAAATTACAACCATCCTTTGGAAGATTGCCGTGGATAGGGCTACGATAATGGTAGTAATATGAACGGTAAATATGAAGTAGCGCAAAATCACATCCAACGAAAACATAAGTATACAATGCTACCATCGACGCTGAAGTTAGAAATATAGAAAGACTTCTTATGGATTTCCAATTTCTGCGCGACCAGTGGAAAGAAATTTATAATGAATGCAAGATTATTGCAGAGAATTTAGAGCATGTCGAGACGATGTTTCCATCAACAAAAAAGGTACGGAAACGTCCTACATGAAAAAGTGAATGAAAACTGCAATAAAGAATAAATTTAATTCAAAAGTTGTACAATGTCTCTATACCCGTATTTACTCTCGGCGGCCTGTCAGTACGACGGACTTTCAAAGTAACGAGTTTTCGGTTTGACAAACCATCAAAATTATATTTTTTGACGTTTTTATATAACGAATGCAAAGTTAGGTTAAATATGAAGAAGCAATAAATTTGTTTAAAAAAATATGTACAGTATCAAACAATTTTGAACTGTCAAAGCTTTTGGAACTAATGCATTTCCAAGAAATCGCAATACAAATAATTAGATGTACAACATAAGATTCGTTATATTGGACGACAACTTTATGTGTTTACCTTAGCTGTGGCAATTGTTAAATAAGTATTTTGATTTGAATTCTAAGAAAATGGTATTTGTTCTTCTCTTCTTAAATAATTAGTACTAGAAACTCAAATAGGTTCAAGTGTGAGTTGGTTTCCCCAAGCAGTAAAGGTAAATATTCAGTTAAATTTAAAAATTAAAATTGGTAGTTGTAATATCTACGGTTTGTAACATTATTGCAGGCGACTTTAAAAATTGTTTTTTTTTTTAAATATCCAGCTTTTAATTATGGTTTGCCGCAATAGTATTAAGTAAACAAACTAAATTGCTAAATTAATTTTTCCTGTAAGCAGTTCAACTGTATTCGGTTTAAGAATTTTCAAAAAGTATTTTTCTATTGCCGAATGATTACATTTTTTTGAAAGGGTAACACATTTTCTGTAAAAAACAGTTTCTGTTTATTTGGTCATTTGAAATTAGTTTGGATAAGCTGCTTCAAATAAATCCATATAATACAATTTGTAAGAAAATACATTGTGGTAATAAAACTTCTTTCGTTTGCAACAGCCTGCACTGGGCACTAAAACTAATCCGAACTTGTGTTGACTTTTGTTTGGGTATACACATTTTCTTCACTCAAATGTTGGTATTTACCACTGTATGCCGGTTCCAATATTAGCACTGACTATTCTGCTACTCCTCTGTTACTAAGATCTGTGTCTTTTGTTGGTTGAACAAGTGGGTGATGTTAGGTATTGCACCAGTCGTCTCTTGAGGTTTCGGCTTGCCACAACGGATCTGTGGCTAGCTTTCGGTTTAAACCGCAATCATTTCGGACTTAAGTGGAGAACTGTTTTTCTGGTTTTTTGTACGAAATATAGAGGTGAATACTCATGTATAAGTTTGCTTATACCCGTTTATTTGTACATATGTATATACGCACATACATGTGTCTACGAATTATAAAAAGTTTAATATCTCTCGCGTGTGAGTAAAGTGCTTCTGTTATTTAAATATTATATGTATTTTATTTGGAAGCGTTTGGCTTAAAAAGGTCTCAAAGTGTTAATTGCCGTGTTGTTGTCATCGGTTTATTAAAACATATGGGATATATGCTTGCATACCTGAATACATATGAATATAGTGCTGCTACTTCTTAATTGAAAATACTCGTTCAAACACATACGCAATAACAAATATTATTAATACTCATATTTACGAAGAGCGCATACTCGGTTTACTCCAATTTATAGAATAAAAACTTTCATTAAACACATTTCAATACTCTTACTATTTTTAAATATAATACATGTTTATTATCTATCTACATACATATGTATACTACTTTTACATAAAATTAAAAATTTTCCCCCTTCAAACCTGTTCTAAACACTAACAATGCATACATACATATCGTGTGGCGGCCAAAGCTGTGGTTTGACTACTATATACAATGGACTGGTATTATTGAGCGCTTGGCCAGAAGTAGCTGAAGAAACGTTAATACATAGTATCGGCACGATCGCTGTGCGCCGTGATGGTGTGGAATATACAGCATTCCGCTGGAGTTTGATGCTAACATGCACACACACATAAGTATGTTCATATTTATATGTGGTCGTGTAAACTAAAGCATACAACGCTGTGTCCATTACGGACAATGCAACACGCGAAAAGTTATTGAAGTTATTTTAACGATACTTACAAGTATACCAACAATATTCTTATACCGTTAAGTATAATGCAAATATTATGGCAAATTTTCTGATTAATAATTCTGTATGCGCCCGTTATGGCTTAGAAAGCTGAATAAATTTAATATTATTCGATAACAAATAAGGCGTTGGCGTAACCACTTACCAAATATATTTTCAAGTGTGCTCTTTAATGAAATGAGTAACTGAACTTCATTATCTAAATTAAAAAAGTATTGGGTGATATTGGTTAAAATATGTTGGTGAACACACTAAGTTACTTGTCAAATCGAAAACTGGCGATTACTATAAACATAATGACGGATTTTTAGCTTGGTTTCAGGAAAGGCTAATCCGCAGAGTAATTTTTATAGTTTTATTTTTTTGTAAATTAATCTATTTGAAGGTATGTAAAGTATGTATATAAATAACAATGTGATCATCTAGTCAAGCCTAAATGAAAAAAATATGATCGATTAAGCGTTTGGTTAAAACTTGTCTTCCTTATGTTGATTCATTTGTGTAATTTGTATTTTTTTTGCAAATCATATAGTCCTTTTTCAGAAGTGTGAGTTCTGCTTTTGAGCTTTATACTAATTGTGCAGTACTTCAGTACCGAGAAAATATAATTTTTGCAAATTTGATGAAGAGCTATTTGTATCCGCAAGTATTACGTACTCAATATTTGATGTCATGTTTTGTATATAAGTATGTATACATAAGTTTTAAAGGTTTATTTTAAGGAAAAATGGCTTCTAAAAATTGTTGATATTATGTCAGACTTTTTTGATATAGTTGAGTAGTAAAAAAAATAAGTTTTAAATTATTAAACTACAATATATGGAAGAAGTATGATTTACAATTGCGTAAAATTTTTTTTGACAGTAAAAAGCATAACATAAAGAAATTTTTGGCATGTTGCTGAAATGTATAGGTTTGTAAGTATAAAAATAATGGAATTCAACGAGAGTCAGTTCACCGAAAACATCATCAGGTTATTTCCGATTCGACAAGCATGAGAGACATTTCAGCAGCTATTCAAACAGACGGGCAGCACTACAAGAAAGCTGCAAAAAGTTCGCATTGCATCAATTATTTGGAAGTACTACGCTATTTGATAGTTCAGAGAATAAAAAACAATACTTTACGAAACAAATGTTGAATAAAAACTAGAAAACGGGAGTTTCATAATAATAAAAAGTAAGGAAGGGCTAAGTTCGGATGTAACCAAACATTTTATACTCTCGCAAAGTCAATTGGTATACTCGTGTTGAGATTTCTTTGTGGATGGACTGATATTTTCGGTAGAGGGTCAACTATTGGCACTGGGGTCCACATATTTAGTACTTAGGGGCTTGAACAGTTTTGGTTCGATTTAGACAATTTTTGGTCACAAGGTGGCGTACTTTAAACGTATTATTCACGATTATACCCCGATATATTCATTGTTGCTTGATATGCATAGGGGAAAGTGAAAGAATCAGATGGAATTGAAAATGGTGTTATATGGGAAATAGGCGTGGTTGTAGTTCGATTTCGCCCATTTATGCACTATAACATAGAAATATAAACAGAACGTTATACACCGAATTTTGTTGAAATGGGTTAAGCAGATCCCAAGACATGGGTTTTCACCTAAAAGTGGGTGGTGCCACGCCGACTGTCTAATTATCCTATAAAGTTATCTCATACCATCCCAAAAATAAAATTTATTGTCTCTGGCGTGTTTCGTGCTTGATTTATCGCGCTTTTAGTAGTTTTTAACAGTACCGTTATATGGGGAGTGGGCGGAGTTGCCACCCGATTTCAACTATTTTCATACTGTAGGTAGAGCTGATAAACAGTCTTGTATCTTATTGCGGAGCTTAGTTATGGCAATTTATTTGTTTTTGATTAATGGCGTTTTGTGGGCGTGGCAGTTGTCCGATTACGGTCATCTGCAATACCAACCGTCTCCCGGTACCAAGAAACATGTCTACCAAGTTTCATAAAGATATCTCAATTTTTACTCAAGTTAGAGCTTGCACGGACAGACGGACAGACAGTCACCCGGATTTCAACTCGTCTTTTCGTCCTGATCATTTATATATATATAACCCTATATCTAACTCGATTAGTTTTAGGTGATACAAACAACCGTTAGGTGAACAAAACTATTATACTCTGTAGCAACAGGTTGCGAGAGTATAAAAACAAACATCTTGAAGTGAGATATACATATGTATGAATGTAATATTAACTCGAACAAAGTGGCTAAATTTTATATTTATGCAAAAAACGTCAATCAGAATATCGGAATTCATTATATGAAAGTGTGAGGTTTAGACCAAGGTATATACTAATTTCATTCGAGTTCAGTATCAAACCATTTAATTTTTAAGAAAACTTATACACTAAATTTTATTAGAATATCACATTTGATCAACCGGAACGGCTTAAAGTCAGGTGGAAAGACGGAAATCATATATATATTAGCAGATATCGAGAACATATTTTAAAGCAATTTGATATATAATATAAAAAAATATTAATACTCATTGACCGATATATTCGGCATGAAACTGGTTAGAATAACGAAAAGCATAATAAGTAGTATATGAAAGTTGAGAGTAGTATTAAGCCGATTTTATCAATTTTTGCCAATACCACATACTACTAACATGGCACAGACTAATAAAATGCTCCCACTGTTTCATTAAGGTACCTCACATACCATCACCAATCATATGGTATAAAGTCACCCGGAAGTTTAAAAATCTTTATGTTACGTTTAAGAGGGCTATAGGAAGTATTGATCCGATTCAACCAATTTTTGACACAAAAAATACTATTATCGAGAGTTTCATCTATTTATTTTATTATATGCATTTTAATTACAATATATATTTTACACATTGACCGATATTTTCGGTAAAAAGTCAACTATAGGCAATGGGGTCCACATATTTAGTACTTAGGGGCTTGAACAGTTTTGGTTCGTTTTAGACAATTTTTAGTCACAAGGTGGCATACCTTAAACGCATTATTCACGCAAAGTTTTACCACGATACAATGATTGTTGCATGATTTGCATAGTGGAAAGTGAAAGAATCAGATGGAATTTAAAATGTTGTTATATTTGAAATAGTCGTGGTTGTAGTTCGATTTTGCCCATTTTCGCACTATAGAATAGACATATAAGAGGAAGGTTATGTACCAAATTTTGTTAATCGGTTAAGCAGATCCAAAGTTATGGGTTTTCACCTAAAAGTGGTCGGTGCCACGCCCACTGACTAATTTTGAACGAGGTTCCTATAAAGTCATCTCATACCATCCCAGAAATAAAATTTAGTGTCTCTGTCGTGTTTAGTGTTTGATTTATCGCGCTTTTAGTTGTTTTTTTAAGGAACGGCGGGGTTGTCCCCCGATTTCACCCTTTTCACACTGTCAAATTCATTTGCCTTCAGTGAATTTTGTTATTATAGCTTTAGTGGTTTAGGAGATATGCACATTAAACCTATTAAGGTATACCAAATAACAGGCTTGTATCTTAGTGTGGAGCTTAGATATGGCAATTTATTTGTTTTTGATTAATGGCGTTTTGTGGGTCTCTTCCATCTTACAGTACCAAAAAACATGTGTGCCAAGTTTCATAATGATATCTCAATTTTTACTCAAGTTACAGCTTGCACAGACGGATTCATCCTGATCATTTATATATACAAGGTGCGTTCCAAAGTAAAGAGGACTTTATTAGATTTCTGGAACAGGCTAAATCGATTTTCAAACCGCATCACAGCGTTTGTATGTGAAAGTAAAATACAGATCATAACTGATTATTTATTTTTCTACAATTTTGCATTCTTATAATGAAATATATGAATACAAAATAAGCTTTGAATGAAAATATAAATGTACATATGTATATCTGTTTAAACAATCAGTTTTCGATTGCACGAGTAAGTTTTCAGAACAAAAATAAACATTGAAATAACATATAAATGTAGATATTTATATGTGAATATTCTTGAAATTCCCTTTCCTCCATTCGCATGCCCAAACATAAATAAATATATGTATGTATGTCCCACTACATGCCTTTTGTAAAAAAAAAACATTCGCGCAAGCGACATAAAAATCCGTTATTACTTCTATATATTCTAAGCACACTGCATATAGTACTTTTATATGTTTACTTATCATCATTATT